GCCTATACCTCTGCCTAGGGATAGATGATAAGCCAGCGAGAATTTAGAGGGCAGACCAACACAGCTGATGTTGTAATGGGTGTCTGCTATGGAATGCCTGATCAGGAGGATGAAGTAGGTGAGGCCTTCTTCAGACAACTGGAAGAAGCCCCACACTTGCAGGCCCTGGTTGGTCCTCATGGGGATTTTTAACTGCCCTGATAATCTGCTGGAGGGACAACACAGCAGGGCACAAGCAATCCAAGAGGCTTCTGGAGGACATTGACAATAACTTCCTGACACAGGTGATTGAGGAGCTGATGCAGAGAGGAGCTTTGTGACACCTGGCTTTTACAAAAAAGGAAGAACTGGTTGGGTATGTGAGGGCTGGGAACAGCCTTGGCTGACCACAAGATGGTGGAGTTCAGGTTCCTGAGAAGAGAGAACAAGGCAAATAGCAGGACCACAACCCCAGACTTCAGGAGAACAGTCTTTGGGCTGTTCAGGGAAGAATCTCTTGGGATAAGGCCCTGAAGAGAAGGAGAGTCCAAGAAAGCCGGTTGATTTTCAAGAATTGCCTTTTCAGCACTCAAGATTGGTCCATCTCAATGGGCAGAAAATCAAACAAAGGCGTCCGGAGGCCTGTATGGATGAAAGAGTGACTGATAGGCCAGTTGGTTGTGATGCCATTCAGAAGGACCTCAACAGGCTGGAGAAATGGGCCGACAGGGAACCTTGTGAAGTTCAACATAGGGAAATGCCAAGTCCTGCCCCTGGGGAGGAATAACCTCAGGCACTAGGACAGGCTGGGGCTGACTGGCTGGAAAGCAGCTTGGCAGAAAAGGACCTGGGGGTCCTGTTGGACACCAAGTTGACCATAAGCCAGCAATGTGCCCTTGTGGCAAAGCCTCCTGGGTTGCATTAGGCTGGGGAGGCTTATAAAAACCAGCAGTACCTCAGACCCCTTACACAGCACTGCACGTACGTCAGATGACCTGTCAGTGCAATCTGTGTTTTTCAGAGATTTCAGGACATAGACTGGGTCAGACCTTGGGCTTGTAGGACAGCATCATGGCTGAGAGGGTGGTCCGCACCAGCATGTCAGAGCACAGAGTAGCAGCTTCCTGCACCATGTGGGAACAAGGCTGGTTCCTCCAAGTGACACTGTCATCTGTAATTGAAGCAGGCTAATCACTACAGTGTGATACACATTATGAAACACTTGTCCTCAGACAACTCTATATATTCTTGTAAAAAAAAAAAAAAAATCTAATCCCTATTTTAAGCTGTGGATCTCGATAGTTTTCAATGGCAATAAGCTATTCAGTCTTTAGAGGAGAAAATATGTTCCCCCCCCATTCTTTGGACTCTTTATGTCCATGTCTGTTCTTTTTTAATTCTCCTACTATAAGAAGATAAATTCTGAATTAACTCTGTCTGTCAAGAGTTATTTGGTACACTTTTGTCATGCTTTTAATTTCTAGCTGTGATTTTAACATAAATCACTTGAGTAGGAACTCAGTCTTTTCCATGCTCTGCAGCCCTTGCCCATTTAACTTCTGGCTGTCATGGTATTCAAGCTATAGCTGTTAAGAAGTATACTCAGCCAAGAAGCAACCTTGGCCAAGAGGGAAAAATTTGTTGCTACTTTTTTATTATTATTGGTTCACACAATAGATAAAGTATCTAAAACTACAACTCTCTGACAGAATACTGATAAAATATAAACAGAGGAGTAAATTCACAAATAAAAATTACAAGTTTCTTTTAACTTTTTTTCTAAATAATAATGTAGTGAAATTCAAAATGTGCTTTGCAAGGCTATTGTGTTTTTGGACATGGGGAATTGAGATCTCTTCACCAAAGCAAGAGAAAATATGTCTTGAAAAAGATGGAGTTAGATAGGAAAAGATACCTCAGAGGACTTACATTTATGTGTATATATATTAAAAAAAAAACTAATTAAGAGGAAATATGTGTATTGAACTAACCTAAAAAAAATGTCCCCACACCATGGCTTGTTACCTTTACCCTTATCAGATGGAGGATTATGGTCTGTGAGACTAATTTTTTGAAAAATGCTGATTTGCAGACAGACATCCTGTCTTCACAGTCCCGGAATATTAGCCATATTAATGGTGAAATAATTCATAGAATGGTTTGGATTGGAAAGGACCTTAAAGATCATCTAGTTCCAAACACCCTGACATGGGCAGGGACACGTACTAGACCAGGTTGCTCAGAGCCTCATCCAGCCTGGCCTGGAACACTTCCAGGGATGGGGCATCCACAGCTTCTCCGGGCAAGCTGTCCCAGTGCCTCACCACCCTCACAGGAAAAACCTTCCTCCTAATATCTAATCTAAATCTACCCTCTTTCAGCTTAAAACCATTGCCCCTTGTCCTATCCCTACAGTTCCTGACAAAGAGTGCCTCCCCATCTCTCCTATAGCCCCCTTTCAGCACTGGAAGGCTGCTCTAAGGTCTCTGAGGAGCCTTCTCTTCTCCAGGCTGAACAACCCCAACTCTCTCAGCCTGTCCTCATGTGGGAGGTGTTCCAGCCCTTTGACTATTTTCGTTGCTCTCCTTTGCACTTGCTCTAACAGGTCCGTGTCCTTCTTGTGCTGAGGACTCCAGAGCTGGATGCAGTACTCCAGGTGGGGTCTCATGAGAGTGGAGGGCCAGAATCACCTCCCTCAACCTTCTGGTCATGCTGCTTTTGATGCAGCCCAGGATATGGTTGACATTCTGGGCTGCAAGTGCACATTGTGGGGTCATGTTGAGCTTCTCATCAGTCGATGTCCCCCAGTCCTTCTCCTCAGGGCTGCTCTCAAGCCATTCTCCACCCAGACTGTATTTGCACTTGTGATTGCCCCAACCCCAGTTCAGGACCTTGTAGTTGGCCTTGTTGAACTTCATGAGGTTTGCACAGGCCCACCTCTTAAGCCTGTCAAGCTCCCCCTGGATGTCATCCTTTCCTTCCAGCATGCCAACTGCAGCACACAACTCAGTGTTGTCCGCAGACTTGCTGAGGGTGAGCTCAGTAATTCCTACTAAGTGAACTAATGGTGCAGTTAAAATAAAGTTTTTAAATGTTAATTATTTTTGTTATTTACATTCACATTACTGGCAAGCATGTAGCATTTAGATAACAGTAGTTAACAAAAGAATCATTGCAACATTCTTTTCAGGATGTAGATTTAATTCCCAAACTGAGTCAGATGGTTTTATTGTCAGTCTTAAACATTAGGAATCTTATATTATGAAACAGTCTGTACCTATGAACTTAGATAATTTACTTGTTCTGCATAATAGCACTATGATAGAGTTCTACATTACGATAATGGGAAAAAATTGTACACTGTTTAAAAATGATAACTGGAAATTTATTCAATATGAATATACAGCTTTCTTCAGTAACATACACATGTTCAATTTCTCCTTTTAGTGTTGAAGAAAGTTTCAAGACATTATTCTGGGCTATATTTGGACTCTCAGAAGTTAAATCTGTTGTCATCAACTATAGACACAAATTTATTGAAAATATTGGTTATGTCCTTTATGGAGTCTATAATGTTACCATGGTCATTGTCTTACTGAACATGCTTATTGCAATGATCAACAGTTCATTCCAGGAAATTGAGGTAAAAATTCCATTTATGATGAAATATTGCCACATTTACTGTTATATCTAATTGTCTAAATCTCCTGTAAAATCTTACTTGTTGAAATCTTATTTGAGAAAAATATCACATAGGCTTTTAGAATATATTAGGAGAAAATATTAGTTCCACTGTACATTTTTATTATAAAATACCTGGAAATTACCCAGCTGAATGTGCTTTCAATAGTAAGAACTAGACTGGACTGAGAAACTGCTGTTGAACTGTGTTATGCACCTGAAGAGGATGGGCTACATTGTATGACTCTGTGAATCTTTCATTTGCCTCATTTGTAGTTGTTATTTGAATAGTGTCCCTCTTGCTGCAAGGATGTTCTCATTCCTCTGCCTTGACCTTGCAAGCATGTCTATAACTTTGTGTTTTCTTCTTTTATTTAAAAAAAACTGTTGCTCTAGTCCTCTGCAGTGAACAAAGCTTCACTTGACAAAGTAATTAGCAGGGCTACTGAAAAACAGCATGAACTTTTGCATGCCATGGAAAACAAAGGGCTAAATCATTATCATTGTCTAGAATAAAAAGAAGCAGATCTCTAGGAGCTAGGCCATTCCAGGCTTTCCCAGGTGATACTCAGGTTGCTTGACACTGTTCTGGTCCCAGGTTTTGGGCTCTGGTTTGGGGCTGTAGCGTTGTCCAGCCTGAGCAAGGGCAACACACATTCTCTAGTGACGTTCAGATTCTTCTGACTCAGGAGGCCACAGAACAAACTATATCAGCTTCAGAGCAATAAAACCAAGCTATTATCCAAAAATATGGTGACTGGATACAAACAGCTTCTAAAAACAACTACGGCAATATTGAGTCATGTCCTTGAACATGACATTAGTCCTTTCTGCAGAAAACCCTCTTGAACTTTACAGGGAGGAATAGTGAGTGTTTTGGCTATCGTAAATGTTAAATGTAAACCATGGTGGTGATAGCATACCTGATGCTATCCAGGGATGGGGCACCCACAACTTCTCTGGAAAAATTAATCAGAAAAGATTAATATATTCCAGCCAGTGGAAGGAATTAGGTAAGAATCACCTATTTTTTTTTAACTTCATGTTTAAAGTAATAGTATAAAATTTTCATTTGAAATTTGGATACTATGTCCTCTTCACAAAAAAATAACATAATAATTGCTAGAGAAGAGACCAATATAATAACAAATCAGAGCTGTTAGTCACATTGAGAGAGTTACATTTTTGTAATGTTAACACAGGATTTCTCCATTTTATTTACTAAGCATGACAGTGTTCCAAGCAAGACTACTAAGTCAAGCCCTAACAGATGAATTTGAGTGTTGCCATGAATTGGGCATTGTATTGTGTACTTTTAAGTCAGAGCTTTCATTCTTATCATTGTGTTTACAATGAGCACCAAACAAAAGGTCTGTCTTTGTGATCCTGTATTGCAGACTATTAGAACTCACTCTAGAGTAACCAATGTTTAAATCAAATCCACTTTGTTTTTCTGTAATTGCATTATTTTAAATGGATTAATACAAACAGGTCCATTCATTGAAATTTGGTTATAAACAAATTCTTGATCTGTTTGAGATTAACTTCAGCCAATTAGATTCAAAACACACATAAAGTTTAGCTAGACCATCTTTAATAGTGAAGGTGGTATTAACAGTGTATTAACAGCTATGTTTCTCTTTTACAGGATGATGCTGATGTAGAATGGAAATTTGCAAGGGCTAAACTTTGGTTTTCTTACTTTGAAGAAGGCAGAACTCTTCCAGTACCCTTCAACTTAGTGCCAAGCCCAAAATCTTTGCTGTATCTCCTACTCAGAATCAAAAAGTGGATTTCTAAACTTTTTCTGTGCCAAAAGAAAAGCTTTCAGGAAGACGCAGAGATGAACAAGGTAATTGTATAGTGTGTATACTGACTGCTGATTTCGAAAGATAAAACCAATTTCAACTTCATTTTTCTTATTCTGTTTTTCTGATTAATTTTCCAACATTCTTAGTCCATGCTGAAGTCAGTTACTAAGTACAGGCTGAAACTCTTGCTTTATTTTTAATATAAATATTTCTCTACATTTGTAATCAGTTAAGTGCAAAAATACCATTGTAAATTTACGGTTCTTCCTGCTTTTTGTCACAAACCCACAATGGTCCAACCTCCTGCTCACAGCAGGGTCAACACTGAGGTCAGGCCAGGTTGCTCAGGGCTTCATCCAGTCAGGTCTTGAAAACCTCTAAGGATGGAGATTGCACAACCTGTCTGGGCAGCATGTGCCACCACCTGACTGTCCCTCATGGGAAAAAGTTGCTTCTTCTATTTCTTGTTTGAATTTGTCCGTTGCCTCTCACCCTCCTGTCATGCAGCACTGTGCCCAGCTCCTTCTCCTCAATGACCTCCCTATATACCCTGGGGGCTCCTGTTAGGTATACCTGAAGCCATCTTTGGTTCAGGCTGAACAAGCCCAGATTTCCCAGTATCTTTTAACAGGGCAAGTGCTCCAGCCCCAAACAAGACCCCTGTACTACCCTCTGAGCACAACCATCCAGACAGGATTTTGCCCATCTAGCTGTCCACCCATCTAGACAGTAACATCCTAATGTGGGTACAAGAATATTCTAGGATACACTGTTAAAACCCTTGTTAAAGTCAAGGTAGATGACATCTCCACCTCTGCCCTCATCTGCAAGTCCAGTCATTTTATCTCAGAAGGCCATCTGGGTGGTCAGACAGGTTTTACTCTTCATAAATCCACACTTACTGTTCCCAGTCACCATCTGCTCTTCCACGTACCCAGAAACGTGCTCCAAGAGGACACAATCCTTTATTTTGCCAGTTACAAAAGTAAGCTTGAGTGGCCTCTGGTTGCCCAGATCATTATTTTTGGCCTTTTTCTGTATGAGTTTGACATTTATCTTTCTCCAGCCTTTGGGGACCTCTCCCAATCTCCATGATATTTCAAAGGTGGTAGCATATTTGCAAGGACTTCATCTGCTCTCTCAGCACCGGTGGATGCAACCCATTGGGTCCAGTGGACTTGCCTGGGTCAAGTTCTCCCAAGTAACCCCTGACTTGACCCTTCTCTGTGACCTGTTCTCCTCCTCCTCAAACCCTGTCACTAAGCACAGAGACCTTGCAAACTGTTGGTGAAGCATGAGGCAGAGAAGGCATCAAGTCCCTTGGCCTTACCTGAGGCTGCTGTCACTAAATCTCCTGCCTCACTGAGCCACAGGCCCACATTTTCCTTTTTCAGCATTATACTGCTATTCTTACTGCCCTTACGAATGTCAGCTTAAGGTGAGCTTTTTCTTTCATAACACCACCCTCACATGCCTGGGCAGAGTTTCTAAATTCCCCCTTTGTAACCATTCCCCTGGGAATGCAGCCTGCTTTTATCTGTTTTATTTACATGACCAGTACAGTAAAAGCACTTGAGTTGATTCATTGCTGTATCTCATGGGCTTATTTAAAGAGTTTATAGTCAATCTGTTTTTCCTGTAGTGTCTTGGTATAAATTAAATTAATTGCTTTAGGAGAGCATGGGGCAGAGCACACAGTGTTAGGGGGTACTGGAAGTGTAAAGACTAGCACTATTGTAACACGTAAGGGAAGAAGAGCTTTGCAAGAGAACTGATCGGACTTGGTGAGAAGAAAGGTGAAAGTAGAAACGTGGCCCTTCAGAATATAAATAAGGAACAACTAATTATTGAAATAGCTTTAAATCCCCATTCAAACAATTAAAAATGTGTTAATTTTTACTTTCCTAGTATAAAACAGTGATTCTGAAATTTTCACAAGTGACCTCTGTTTCTGGGAGCACAAACTGAATGATTTTCTGGGAACCCTCCCTTCTGATCCAAGCGCGTATGATTTGCTGGCATTCCAAGTTGTCAGCTGCTTCTGAAAACTGGGATTTAAGAAGTTAACAAAGTACTAAACAAAACACCTACAGTAATTACATTACTATTCTGATTGCAATGAATTTTAAATAATAGTAGAAAAAGATGAAATGGGAAGCAAGTTTAAGGAAGGTGTTTTCTAAGAGCAATGGTCCATGTATGCTGCATTTCTGCTTTCACACAACACTCCTGGAGGAGAGTTATTTTTGTTAGGGTTTATATCATTGTTTTATTTAAACTACATTTTTTTCCTCTCCAGCTACTCATGTACAGATGTTCAATAGTTATTAACTTAAATATATGAATTCTAGTTTAGTCATTAATGTGACAGGCTGAGTTTACTCTAGTAGTAATTTTTGGGAGAGGAAAAAGCCAGAGACATGAAGTTTAAAGAGAGTTTTAAAATTTCGTGTAAAAGTGAAGCTATAATGAAATCTTGGCAATCTCTGCCACCAAGTGGTCATTCAGCAATGTACAGTAGATGTCCTGTCCTGTTACACACAAGCGGATTTAATGAAGTTGCACATTTCTGCTTTACCTGCCAACTTTCAAGGTGCAGTCTCTAGATAATTAAAAGCACATTACTCTGTTCAAAAAATGCAGAATGCTAAAGGGTCAAAGCTGAGATAAAAATGTTACCATGTGTCTGGTTTTCCAAGTTTGCAGTGTCTTACTTAACGCATTTCATCGTGTATTACCAATTTTGCTCTTTCAAGTGAAAATCAAGTTTCAGTTAAGCATTGGATTAACTTTTGAACTAAACCAATGTAACAAAAATTTGAAACTGGTAACCAGCATGACAGATTGCATTTATAATACATAATAATATAAATAATAAATATTTAAAAATACATAATAAAATTAAATGCATGTGTAGATTATATGTAAACTGATAAGTAACAGGGTCACGATTGGTATATGGAAAAAAAATCAGAGATCCAGAAGGGCTGGGACACCAGCCTCACAGCTGGAGCCCAAGCTCACACCCTAGAGCAGCTTTGGCCAGAGAGGCTTTCCTCTGCCAGTGCAGAGCAAGCATACTTTTCCTCTTATTCTACTACATTATTTCCAAAAATTGTGTATTAGGAAACCAGGAGCTGGAAGCGGGAAGA